TTTTAGGAGGAGGAACTTGCACAATCGGTGGCTGACTAAATACTTTTTTGCCCCACTGTATGCAGTACTGAGCCAGAAGGCTAGCCACAAACTATAGAAAGCAGGCAGTTTCAGGGACTCTAAGCAGAGTGGAATGAGGAAATCGGCTGTAAAAATAATTTTTAGAAGTAGAGGGTGTAGGTGGAGAAAATGTCCAGTCTATTGATTTATTTATTTTTTTCTTTCTTCTTCTTCTTCTTCAAGCTTTCAAAGTTCACACTTGATTTAGCATTTGAATCAGTTGCAATAACCAATAAGCAGGCCATGGGATGATAAAGTGGTTAATGCTCTTGCTTCATGGCAGAAGTGCTCCCGGTAAAAACCTGCTGACCATCTGGGGGGTTTCTTTGTTGAGTCGGTATGTTCTCCGTGTGACTGTGTGAGCTCTGAGGTTACTTCTGCTTCCTCCCACCATCCAAAGAGTTGAATAGTATGTTTTTGATTCTATGTTGGCTGTAGGTGTTAATGTGAGCATGAATGTGTGTTAGCCCTGTGATTAGACTGGTGTCCTGTCCACAGTGTGCCTTGCCTCTTGCAAAGTGACCCCCAGAGTATTCTGACCCTGAATTGTATACACAGTAGAAAGGATTGGTGGATGGATAGTTGTATTGAGTCTTAAGGAATCTCTATTCACTCTTGCAACCAATAACAGAAGATTTGCAAGTAGCTGCAGTTTAATGTGGAAAGTTGAAAATGGCTTTTAAAGGTGGATGTATGTAGATAGATGTAGTGGAGGAATGAAAGTAGTAACGTATAAAAAATGTTCACAGCTTTTGTTTTATGCCTCCAGGTGGGGGAAAAACCACAAAACAATACATTTTCACAATATGAGACTTTTAAGATGCACACAATAGGTGTACTGCTATACACAGGCAATCCCACTGGTGCTTGTTAATTTCCCATGCTCACAATTACTGATGCCCTGCTTCATGCCAGCTGCGTTCCTGAACTTGTGTATCATCATGTCATCATAACTTTCTGCAGACTTGAGGCAAGCCGCTTGTGCTCGCTCTGCAGACCCTGAAATTCCTAATTGTGTATATCAGACACAAACACCATTAACACCTCAAAGGGTGTTACATTTGACACCCTAGCAGCCCACTTGCTCTCATTAGTCATACTCATAACAGAGCTGCTTGAGGCTGAGGTGTGGAATGTGAAGAACGCCTGGCTCTCTGGTCGAACTGTCGGCCTCTTCTGCCATGCCTGGGTTTTCGGGAGTTTAGTTGAAGTGTTATTGGGACTACAAATATCACAGTAGATTTGAGCATAAAGTATGGATTTAACTTATCCTGTTAGTAGAACAATGATGAGATATAAACATCAGTTTCTCTTTTGGAGTTTGGTATTCGTGCTTCTGGTTCCATCTGAGAACTATTTCTTACTGTAACATGTCATCTGTAGTTAAAATCTCCACACCACAACAATGGATGACATTGACGCGATGTGTATCTGCACCTATGGCTTTTTGTGTTTATGTTTGATTCTTGTGAAGGAGTCTCTCTCGTGATTCATCCAGTGACATCACTCCTTGGCCAATCAGTGGCCTGCAGTCTGACATTATATTTTCAGCTCGACTCAGCTTGCTTGAAAGCCCAGTTCTGTAGATACTAACACGCACCTGTTACCAGGTACTACCGTATAATGGAAAACACTAAAAACTGAGTAGAGTGGAGTTGAGCAGAGTAGGTGCTATTTATTAAAATAAATAAATAAAAATAGGCAAAATTCTCTCATAGAGCATAGGGGGTCATATTATGCTCAAGTGTGTGTTGTACAAATTAAGCCCTACTTAACAAATCAGTATGGCCCAAACACAGAGGGGTGCTCGGTCTGTGTGTATCTGTTTCTTCATAAAACACACTAAGACGAGGATCAGACGAGACTCGTAGGCTGTAAAACAGTTAGCACAGGCGGGAGGCGAAAGGGCAACGGAGACTAAAGGGGCTGACATGTTTATGGATTGATCCTTTTTGCTTAGCAGAACACAGGAGTCATAATATGCAACAAACATTGTAGTAAAGTTATTATCAGGATGTTGTAAGAAAAATCCTTTAAAATTGCTCAATTGATTCAAAATGCTGCAGCAAGAATACTGACAGGGACTAGAAGGAGAGAACATAGGTCTCCTATACTGGCTTCTCTTCATTGGCTTCCTGTTAAATCCAGAATGAAATTTAAAATCGTTCTCATCACATACAAGGTCTTGAATAATCAGACCAACATTTATTATTAACTTCAGAAGCGTAGGACAAGGAAACCAGAAGGTCTGACACAGTTTGTTAATTTTTTAGCTCTACATATTTGTTTTTGGACTCTACTCTAGTAGCCTTGCATGATTCCCTGTGCAGATAATCATTGTTTATCTCTTATTGGGCCTTGATGCAGCCGCTCAGCTCATTCTTTCACTGAAACAAGCCCTTATGGCTGTTCTTCCTGTAAGGCCACCTGCCTTTAAGTCTGCTTTCTTCCCATTGTCTACCCCTCACTAACAGAACATAAAGTAGCTTGATGTTGCTGTTCAAACTGCTACCAGAGCTATGCTAAAAAAGAGTTTAGAGCGTTGGCTCTAGAGTTGGCTCACAGGGATTACTTGCAAGTATCCTGTTGTTTAATTTTGGCTATGTTTAATATGAGATTACCATTTTAAAGAGAAGCATGATGGGAAATGTGTGCTACAATTACTAATTTACTGTGTATTGTTTTCCAACTTGACACTACAGACATATGGACAATGTCTTCATGCCCTCTTTGGAATGTTATAGTACTAGAATAAGTGGAAATGCAAATGGCTCTGAACTGTTGGGTTATCTTATCTGTGTGATCGGTTTGTTCTTTTCCAAACTTGTTTATGCAGTTTCTGTTGAAACACCTGGTCATCAGTCCATGTCCTTCCTGCTTTACATCCTGTTCCTATTGCCTTTGGGAAGTCTTGTCCATGAATACATTTAACTGCGAGCTAATATACATTCGCATGTGATGAAATTATGTGCCCAGAAACATCCTGGCTCAATTGAATGTAAGTTACTAAACAAAGAAAGGTGTATATTTTCATAATGTAATGGTAGTGTTACGTGATATAAGCTGGTAGCTCACAGAAACCTATTGACAGTAGTGTCAAAGTCAGCTTATTGTACACTAGGCTTCAGGGTGGATTTGAGGGTGTGTTCAGTAGGGCAAGGTTCTGGCACGATCTTGTGATTTTTCTTATTACATGTACACACACACACACAGATCATTGTCACATAAACCAGACTTTGATCACTAAACTTGGAGTGTGTGTCACAGCCCAGCTTTGTGTCAGGTGACAGCATTGGTACAAGCGTGGTATATTTCACGTAGCACAGGGACACTGCAGGTCTGGACTGGCCCAGAAGACACTTGCATCAATGTGGACCTCTTAAATGAGTCATGTTATTAAAAGTATGCAATAACAGCAAGGTTGAAGTGCCATCTCATTGCCTGTGTGAGTTTAAGGGTTCATAGTGGTTATAATTAGTTTATAAAATCAAAATCTGTTTGCTATGAATCAGAAGTAAAATGTTTATATTTAAAAGCTTTAAATACATTAATTGTTTGGCTATAAAGTCTGTCATGTACAATTTGCAGTCTACTTTAATGCCTCAGTGGTCCTGACTCTTGCAGCCAGCACTCACTGACTCATTACAGAATATACGGTTCTTGGATTTAGTAGCTCGTGTCAAGCCATTCAGAATAGCTGTGGGCAGTGAGGGACTCCTTGTATTATACGAGCCATGATGCTTTAAATAGGCCTGCAGCAGAGGGACTATTTCCACAGTGGGTGACATCATTTTTATGGCTCTGCAGTGGCACAAGGGAGTCGGCACAGACTAGGGTGTGTCACCCAAGCTTTAGAGCATAGGTCACCTCACCATGCAGAGAGATCACCTGGCTCTCTGGACTCATAGGGTTTAGAGGTGAAATCCATCTGCAGTATGACTTTAAGGATGTGCAAGTGCATACATTAGAAATTCATTTGTAACCTTATAGTCCGAATTGCGTGAGCAGATTATATAAAGAGCTTAGTAATGTTTGATCTGGGGCTACTATTTAAAAGTAAATCGCTGCACTGAATCTCTGGCATGTTTCTACTGTCTACTGACGTCACTACTAGAAAGTTTCCTTAATTACTATGGGTGGTCCAGCAGGAGCTAAATCTAATCAGTTTGTTTTAGACACAAACTCAGATTGCGGTAAAACCCAAGTGTTTTTGTTTGTTTTGTTTGTTTTTTTGGCTATGGAGATGTTATAAATCAAGGCTGGCTTTAAGCAGTTTAATTTTATTTTTCATGCTTAAATTGTTTTATTGAGCCATGTAATGTGACTTGATATCTTAAATTTGATTTCAGTGATGCTGAACTAGTTTGTTTTTTTATTCTTCCATTAAAAGAAATCTCTGACTCCGCACAGTTAATCTTGTTCTTTGTATTTTCTCACCAAACTGTAATTAACCATACACAAGGATGGTTAAGTGTTACCTTTAAATGCATTTGTTTTGGGGGGTTTCCCCACTCTGCAAATTTAAAAAATTGAAATTGTTTTATTGGGTCTGAAGTTTTTGTTTGTTTGTTTAAATTCATAATTGCTCTGGTAGGCTGCCTTCACTGCAAATGTACATATAACTCATTTCAGCCAGCATTAGTCATTAACTAATTAATTTATATACATACATACATACATACATACATACATACATACACGCACAAGATAAATCCAAAGTACTTTTTAGATTGGAGTTTGTGTGTGATCTATGAGCTGCTTTTTGCAGGTAGGATTTAGGATCATCCTGTAATTGTCCTGTTTCAAAACACACTCGCTCCTCCAGCATGGATAATGTTCTCTAGACTGAGACTAATCTTATTACTCTGTTGTTTATCTGTGTTTTTACAGACGGGCCGCATTGATAAATCCTACCCCACAGTGTGTGGTCACACAGGCCCTGTGTTGGACATTGACTGGTGCCCCCACAATGACCAGGTCATTGCCAGCGGCTCAGAGGACTGCACCGTGATGGTAAGGCTCGCCTCACCCATCACACCCAAACTCAAACCTCCTCGGGTCAACAGGAGCATACATTCTTTAGATCATAAGAGGCAAGAGTCTACATGCTCTTATTGCGAAAGGCAAGGCTGCGGTTACTCATGAATGGTTGCAGGCCTCACCCTCTGGATTAGATTAAGCTCAAATATGTGTTGTAGGAATCAGAGCTGGGGAATGATTTAGCTATTTATTGAGCTGAGGTCACTGACTTTTTTCAGGCTGCTGTTTTACTTTTCTCCATATGTCCTTATTTGGTATATAATAGGCTGGGATAGGCTTTCAGCTTGTTTAGATGGCAGCCACTTCCTCACCTGAAAGGCCTGACTTCCTGTTAATCCCATGCTAAATCAAGGCAGTATTTATTTGGTTTGTTTTGCAGAAGTGTGGGCCATGAAGAGAGGAACTATTGCTGGTTCCTCTCTTCATATCATAGAACATGTGACGGTAAATTTCACAACCTAAATAGACTCTCAGTGATGTTTAGTTTAGATTTGGTAAGAGTGGGTTGGCTGGTGTACACAGCAGGCCTGTAAAGTAGGACTATAACGTAGGCAGGGCATAAAACGTTTATTGTAGATTAAGGAATAGATTTTGTTATCACAGAGTACACACTGGACATCAACGAAGCTAATTTAATGTTAAAATGTGATGGAGTGGCCTTTATTTTCTTTTTAAAATGCTGCATTAGGCGTACCCATTCTATTCCTCTGAAAGGACAACCTTTACAGGATGCCTGTGCCAGGCACCGAGCACTAAAGAATGTAAGGAAAAAATTTAACCTCAAATTCTTTTCATGCAGCAGTGTTATGACAAAGTAGATCAGATGAATCAACGTAATCATGTTATAAATAGTGTTAGTGAATAGTAACCAATCAGTACTTGACATCCTGAAGTCTTAAATAGCTGGTTTTGAGGTGGGGTAATAATGTTGCATTTTTCTGCACATCTCTTAAAATTTGAGTTGGGTTTGGCACTGCTGAAGGTCCTGGCTTTCAACCCATCTGGTTTTGAACATGTGAAGTTTCCATGTTCTTCCTGGGTTTGTGTGGGTTTCCTTTGGTCGGTGTTATTTCTCCTGACACCAAAAACATGTTGGCTTAATTCTCTCGTCATTGTTCCCTAAACCATGGCAATGGGTTACATCTGGAGTTAGTTCCCTATGCTCTACAGTGGCTAGCCACTGCTCCTGATAACTCCAGGTGTTGTGCCAGAAAGTGATTGCCACCTGCAGGAGTGTGCGCAGCTACTTAAAGCTATAGCGCCCAGATTACTTACATAGACAGCTACTTCCATGCAACTGATATAAGGTGCGGTAAGCTGAAGACAGCTTCAACCGTCTGTTTGTTGAACAATAGTAATGCGACTGCACCGCATTTTCTTGTTAGTAACGGTAACGGCGTTGTAACAATAGCAATAGTAATTAGTTGATTACTCGATACTGAAAAAAAGTATATTTTGCTAAGTCTAACTGTGTATCAGTCAGTAAGGAACATGCTGGGAATTCTTAGTGATTGCTGCCCCCCTCTGGTTCCTTTTTGTAATTACAGTTTAGATCCAGTAATCATTTTAATTGCTAGACTGTGTTCAGCATAATCATCATGAAATCCTTTAGAATATATATTTTTTTTTCATACTTCAGAGAATTTTTACTGCCTGCTCTCAGTTTCTGACTTCCTGGTCTCTTTACAGGTGTGGCAGATTCCGGAGAATGGCCTAGTCACTTCCATGTCTGAGCCAGTGGTGATATTGGAGGGCCACTCAAAGCGTGTGGGCATCATCACATGGCATCCAACAGCACGAAACATCCTCCTTAGTGCAGGTAAGAGCTCTGGCAGTGTTTCCAAATCTATAAAACAATGCTGCCTTCAAAACTTGATGATCAGATTGAACACAAACCTCACCATTACCTTTATCTGTCACCAGGTTGTGATAACCAGATAATCATCTGGAATGTGGGCACCGGTGAGGCCATGATCAACCTGGAGGACATGCATCCTGATGTCATTTACAATGTGTGCTGGAACCGCAATGGAAGCCTTATCTGCACTTCCTGCAAGGACAAGTCCATCCGGGTTATTGACCCCCGCAAGCAGGAGATTGTTGGAGTAAGTAGTTTGCAAATAAATTGTCATATTTTCTGTTTTTATATTGAACTGTATCTGAAGTATTTAAAAGGTAAATATGAATTCAGGTGCAGGGATTTTTGATTTGGAAGTAGAGAGACTAGTAAGCCCCGGTATGGTAACATTGTTCCCTTAAAATTGTTGTTAGCTGTGAGTCTGAATTATGAATTACCAGTTTTAGTTTGGATTCAGACCAAGGACTGTCATGG